CTCTTCTTTGGTGGTCGAACTGTAAGGCACGCTCACTTCCCGTTGCACTCTGCAAAACTAAAGGTTGCCACCGCTAAGCCATCGACTCTAAGTCCACTACCAAATCTCTTCTTTGGTGGTCGAACTGTAAGGCACGCTCACTTCCCGACACCGAAAAATTCCCAATAACCTAAGCGAGAGAAGGGACCGAAGCTCATCATCTTGTGGTCGGGATAATGAAGAAATGTAGAAGAGTCGTGGTGGCCTAATGGTTGGACTTCCCGCCTCGTAAGCAAAGGCCATAGGTTCGAGTCCGTGCTCGCACTGAGTTTCTCAGAATTGATGTACGGAATTTAATTTCAAATTTAACACGAGGCTTTCGGTGAAGGAAATACCGTGATGAGCCTGCACGTCGAAGAAGGTTCACAATCCTTGGAAAATTGGGCCAGCGTGGCGGACTATGGCCTAAACCCTCGCCTGAGAGGAGACCCGTGCGCAGCAGTGGGACATGTAAAAGGGTTGATGATGGTGATGAATGAAAAATTGAAATTTGCGTACCTATAAAGAAAAATATAAATTTACGTTACCCTCTTTATATAAAAACAAAAAGGGAACATTCTATTTCAAATGAATAGTATAAACAAAATTCAACAATTTGATAATAAAGAACATCGAGTATTTAGCCAGAAATAGAGGTGAAATGTCACTTAATTTGTTTCAAAACTATTCTGACATATCATTACTGTGACAACTGCGCTCCGATTGGCCAGCCCGAGTTCGAAACAATTGACGGGTGTCGTCAACTGTTTCACTTCAAATCGACCAGTTAACTTGAGCCTTGCTGTAATGGACGAAAATTGCAAAATTACTTATTTAATATTTCAATACCGATGAAATTTGATTCCGTTTGTTTTGTAATTAGATGTTTTGCTGTTTTTTCCCACACCACCGAATGGAACAGCACGCCATTGTTAGGGATATATTATATGTCAGCGTTACTGTGTCCCGGTCTTGGAAGGGTAAGGCTGCTGGTGAAATTACAGGCCCATGAGACTTGTCAACTTACGTCTCAGGGTGATAAGCGCAGTTGCAGTGCCCCTCAGATCTTTGCGATGTAAAGCTCTAAGTGGCATTAGAACTGTTATGGACAGGCGTGTAGCTTACCATGAGGAGCACGACTTGTTCGTCCCGTCACTTGACATTATAAAAATATATATATTTATTACAATAAATACAGAATATTTTTGGAATATACGGAGACGTACACACAGATCAGTTGTTGGCGTTGTCTATATTTCAGTGCAAACGAGAGTTGAAATTCATGAGTGATGTATCAGAGGTGAGTTACCAGAAATGTATGTCTCTATTTCTGGTCATATACTCGATGATAAAGAACCTAGAAATACGAATACCACTGCCACTGTTACAGCCACAACAGCATGGCATCTACTCCCTTCCTTCGTCCGACATCCGTTCCGAAACAATTATTGTCAAATAATGAATACTCTACCAAATTGAACGACGCATGATGCGAATGAAGCTTCATACTTGATACTGTATTTCAATTTCGTCGAGTGTTACTTGTTTGACAGACAATTGTTTCGGTCAGATGTCGGACAGAGAACGGGAATAGACCCCCAGTTTCAGGGGTGTAGCTACTAGACTTGTGCCTGATCGGTGCTCATAGGGAGCGATCCTAGTTAGTTCAATCGGTCAACTGAACTAGGTTGGTCTTCTAGTTCATTTAGTGCATCTAGTTCCTTAGTTCGTCTTGTCCTTGCTCTATTGTACGAATGCTCCAAACTAGTAATTTTATTTACATGAACTACTACAGACTTCTAGCATTATGAGGTCAATACTACACTGTATTAAATATTTAGAAATACAATTTGTATGGAATCGGTACTATTAGATTTTCCTTCATATTTTACCGGTTTAAAGACTGTCATTCTAATTAAATATCCTTTTTTTTTTTACAAAACAAGAATTTTAGTATGGTGTGTTTAAATCAATATTTATGTACAACTATTTGATATACTCGTACACGTAAGTTGATGTTATACATACAGATACCTACCACAGCTACCAAAAAATATTACTTTTTCTAAAAAAAAGCTTGTTTACATACATAATGTAGATACGTATTAGAAACTTAGAACGAGCTGGCAACGTTCTATCGTACATCCAACTCGAACTTGTACTAAAATTAGTGAAAGATCGCTATTTGTCCAGTTCGCACCGTTCCTACAGAATAAAATACAGGGAACTATCAACTCAGACAGTTCCTAGTTCGTACTGAACTAAAGAGAACGATAAACTATATTAAAACCGACCAAGACGAACTAGTTCATGTCGGTCAGTGTCGGGAATATATTCCTAATAGTTCGTAGTTCATGAACTATACAAGCCTAGTAGCTACTCTTTTCCACGTCCTTACTGGACACCAATACTGTCAAACCAGAATCAGAACTTCTTGAAAATTTGTTACATAGTCTTATAGTCTATTTATTAATACAGACCTTGAGATATTTTTTTAAATATTAGGGCTAAAAAATTTTACTATTTATTAATGCGGGCCTCAGCATAAGGTTGCTACGAGTAAGAAACTCCCCACAAAGTATACCTACTAATGGTTTGCCAAACATCCACAAGTATAATAAACCTGCCACTTCCTTCTATAAAAAATCTTAAAGATCCCCAGTAAGCAATTCAGTTTAATATAATAGAATAGAACACCCACCGAAAAGGCAGAAAAAATAATATAAGAAAAAAAATTTAAAAAATGCACTAATTCTATTTTCAAAAGCGTCAATTTACCAACTTATTCTCTTTTTACTTTTTTATAATTTTGTCTATTTATACATTTGTTAAAGCTCGTTTATAAGGATTGTTAAGTATTTAGTTCTTTTTCATTCATCTAATGTTTTGTTATTCTGTGATATCAGTAGAGTGACTAGCTAGTTATCACAACACATCAGTTTCCTGTAAATAATGTTAAGAAGTAAATCTACACATTGGATCACAAAAAAAACATTTGTATGCGCGAATTCAGAGTAACCTAAAAGTCATCTTAATTTCTCTTTTGAAAAGAGAATACTTTTCTTTTTTTCTGTTCTTGGCTTTTCTGGTCAGCGTTGGAGCCATAGGTTGGAACCAAAACAATTTTTAAACATTCAATCAATCTATCTTAGCAATTTATCAACGGGATATTATATATATTGGAAAGAATTAGGAGAAAAATTTCATAACCAATAATAGGTATATAAAGAAATATACACCTGTGAACAAATGATAATTTAATAATATTTCGACCACCGTTGATCCCAGCTACAACAAATAGATGAAGTTGTGCCATGTGAAGAACACAAAACAACAGTACCTGATGAGGAAATCACTTCTTAGGTCCGTGATCGCGACCCGTTATTTCTAACTCAGTAAATGATTGCGACTCCATTTAATGTTAGTTTTTTTTTAAACTGAGGACATATAACATTTCTTGTTTTTTTTCCTTAAATGAATGGCTTGTGAAACTAATTGTCTCAATAATGCCAGTATCCGTTTCATGCTAGTTTTATAAACATCGTAAATGAGTGTAAATAGAAAATTTGTTCGGCGACTAATGGGTGACTCAGAGGGAGAGAACGCCTTTTGATAATCTCAGTAGAGTATTCAAAAAAACCCACCTCAAAAATCATTCTGCTCAGACATTGACTTACAAATAAACAGACGACGGGACTAATACAAAAACCACGACAAAAATGTCCCAAGTCAACCTATTTAAACGTAGTGACATGTCAAGGAATATGAAACAGCTAAAACGTTGAATTTAAATTGTAATGTCATCGAAGTACTGTCTAATTTTGCTTGCTTCGCTGTCAGTCAAACAAACGAAGACTAGAGCGTGAATGACGCTCTGTATACGATTTTAACGCCCTATAAGTTCGGACACTTTTTAGCGCGGACCCGACGTCCATATAATTGCAAGTCAATATGATCAGACGAATAATAAATTGTCAAGTCACAGTTATGTTGTCATGATACCAATTATTAGAGTAAAATTATTGTTAGATTGATAAGTGCCGAAACTGGCTACCTACGAAAATTAATAAAAAACTAGATTACCTACCGTGATCCACAATGGTGGCACTGCAGCGGCTCTACGCGTTTATTTTGAAATTGCCATAAGTAATAGGGACTACATTTTTGTTTTTATTAATAAAAAGTGATTGCCTTAACCTTGACCGGGACAGTTGCTTCAGCTGTATCAAGCACAAGTCCGGTCGTGTTTGGAGTGCCGCTGCTACCTTTGAAATGGCTCTACTACATACCAATTGGCCACCTTGGATTCAATAGATAAGCGTTCCAAGACGCTTCTAGGTGACTCGGAATTAGTAGAGGCGAAGCTGCAGAGCCTTGAACACTTTATAACACGGAATTCCGCCTTCCTCTTACATACTTACATAGACATAGGCTTGGATTCCACCACTACGTTGTGGATATTCCGACGATTCGCACGAAGCATTATGCTTACACATTCATACGGCAAACGGCTATGGAATGCAATTCCCTACCTGCAAACTTGTTCCCTGAACATTATAATTTGGACCTTTTCAAGGCGAGAGTGACTTGGCATAAGTGTGTATGCTAGTCACTTTCCAACAGGTGAGATGGAGGTCAAATGCGCACTTACATTTGTATAAAAAAAAACTTTTCAAATCTATTGCATTGTGGTCTTAATAACAGTCAGTTATAATTAACTGTATACAATTTACCGCAGCAGGAGACTGATGTTATGTGGAACATAGAAGATCATAATTGTTATTATGTCATTTGTTTCGATTAATTTCTTTATGTACATTTCATTGAATTATTTTTAATATTTTATCTACACACATATCATAAACCCTCTACGATGTGTTCAGAAACAGAAAATTACGACCAGCTTAAAGATAAACTGTTTAGTTAGAACATATTTCTTATCTGTAAAAATTTTATTATTGCCTAATTATTAGGATCAAATTCGATTTTATTTTTACAATCAAATGTCGAACATCTCTGAAAAACAAGATAATTTGATTCGACCTCAATTCTAATATCAGTCAAGATGAAGTTTTATTCGAAATGAAATGTCATTATCAAAACAATTTTGACAAATTTCACACGTTACTTGATATCGAACGATATGATAGTTGGAGCCGACTGTAGTTGTATCTATGAATTAAATAAAAACTGTGTGACATCTTAGAGGATGGAAAAAAACGTGACATGCGTGAGTTTTTATTTGCCGCCATTTCGCCAGTCATAACATACGGTCCCTGAATACATCATAGAAAGCTTATAATATGTGTAAGCAGTGTATGTACCTGTACATAATTAGGCATTAAAACTTTCATTATGTACCAGTCACATAAACTACTAATATTATGTAAGTGTTTTATTGCAAAAAGACATTAGGTAATAGACAAGTAAGTAAATTGTGTATAATTTACTTAATATGTCATAGTAATATATAAGTTTTCCTTTAATTAATAAATAAAACCACAAAACCTATACAAGTGTATACAATTTTTATTTTATCATCTTACATTTATCGTTTTAGTGTTAGAAACCACGTAAAAAAATACAAGAAAAATACATCAGAAATTAATATTAAAAAAATACTGTTTTAGAAAGAAAGATTTACAGATTTTACACTTAGGGTATACACATAAATGCATTTCACACTAAGTTAGTACGCAATTGACTGATCTTTTAGACCGTAAATGAAGGTAAATTTAAATTGCAATTATTCCTAAAGGCGTGACTGCAATAAACTTAAAATTCCTTATACAAATCACTACCAATAATTAACTACATGCAATTCTCAAACTAGAGTTGTACGAATTGGGTAATTGTACAGACAAATCAAGATTATACGATACTTTGGAAGAGACAGGACATAACAGTACATTGTCTATTTATTACGGGCGGTAAATAAGGAATTACAAACGAGACTATTAGAAGCCCGAAGTCGAACACTGAGGGCCACTAAGATCTTTCGGAGTTGTGAATCGTAATTCCCGTACCGCCCATGAAACACAATGTTTTTCATCACACTTGCACGTAAATAGTATCATTGTATGCATGGTAACTTGACTATTAAAGCCCCAAATAAAACCCTCAAGCTTGTTTCTACTCATTACAGTCACGGTCATGTAATTAGACGAAAAAAGGTCCAAGGGTTTTATTTGAGGCATTATAGTCAAGTTAGACTGCATGCAATCATACCATTTAAATGCAGGTGTGACAAAAAATTATTTTTTATCGATATAATTAGGTTGCATAGAGTTCTTGGACATTGGATACAATCCGGTTTTAATATCTTAAGAGCAATTCATTAATTTACTTTTCTCAAAATGTCCTACGACTATGAAAAAACAAACGCACGTGAAAATAAGTCGATCTAAAATGCCTGGTTTGCTTGAAAAGCAAATATAAACGAATTAGGTCCTAAAAAGTTATTTAATCTCCAACTATCGCACTTTAAAACCAAATACTGTCGTAACTCCAAAATTGTTGGAACAGAAAAAGACGTAATTTGAAATTTTAAAAAACCGAATTGATTTTGATGATTATTTTTATGTGTTATGTTCATGTATTTACTTATATTATTGGTTAAATTCCGTAATTTCGAGTTACGACAGTTATTTAGTTTCATGTGCGATATTTTAATTTTTTTCTTCGCACTTTCTTCGTCTTAGTATAAAGTGGGCGTTTAAACAAAAAGCACTTAGAAAAAGATTGCTTTTTAAAATAAGCACATAAGCACGCTTTTCATTTTAAACGTAAGCGTTAACAACGTGCTTATGTTTCAAGTTCCGCCATCTATGTTTCCTAAACAAATTAATTCGTCAATGTGAATAATAATTTTATAAATAAAAATAAAACTCGTGTTTTACAAATAGAGTTACTAATCTTCAAACCTTTAGTGCTTTACTCTTGTTTTTCGGTATCAGCGCACAGTTACAAGCATTCTTTAACACAAAAGTCTATGCACTTGAACGTTTTTCTAAACGTTTTTATAAAAAAGCACGTATAAACGTTTAAAAAAATTTTGCAGTCTTTCCCATCTCTACTTAGTATCGACAAATCCCGACATTCTAAAACTGTCAGTCCTAATTTGTTCATTCTATTTAATATTAGCGTTAGGAACGGTAATTTAACTGAGCATTAAATACATTAAACTTAATCATAAGCCAAATAAATACGTTAGTATTAAATAGAAAACCAATTTATTTCAACGTCGCTTTTTTTGGGGAGAATATATTTAGAAACAAGAAACTCAATATATTTATGCCTAAGTTTAGATGATTTATTGCCACGGAGAAACCTTGCTTTGTTGCGGCTTAAAAAATTATTGTTGACACACATTATCCCACTTGAAATCGACGACAAGTAATTGTAACTTGAAAAGAAAACCGTCTCAAATTCGATTTCCATTGGATCCCCTCATCACATTCTGACCTCTTGGTGACAATAAGACTGTTACGGACTCCTTCGTACATTTTGTACTTTTTTCTGGTTGTCGTGGCGACGGTGATTTGTTGAAAAATAATTAGTAATTTGTGATAGCCGAAACAGCATCGTGGGCATCAGGGGCACCTCTAGAGTATACCCTTTCAAACAAATAAAGAATTTTCAATATCGGTGAGTACACTATCATGCCTATAAAACTTGAGGCTTTTCCTCGATTTCCATGGGATCCTCTCATCAAATTCTGACTTGGTGACAATGGGACCACCACGAGAGTGCACACTTTCAAACAAAAAAGAATATTCAAAATCGGTCCACAATTGACAGAAAAATCGGAAACCTACATACAACCGAACGTATAACTCCTCCATTCTTGATCCTCCTTTTTTTCGAACTCGGTTAAAAAATCAATTTGACAGAATGCGCGACTATAATAATACTCAAGTAGAGAGAAGGTAGAGTCAACAATACTTATTTCGTTAGATAATGTTTATTCCCCAGCAAAAAGGTCGTTTTGTTTAGGCCTTGGGCACGGTCCAGACACGGGTGTTGGCGTCCTGGCCCACGGAAACCACTGATTCGTCGTCCAACCACGCCAGGCCTGTGATCTGGCTCTGTGGGTGAGCATCTGGAAAAATAATCGGGTAAGAGGAACATGAGTTATTTTAAGATCGATTTTATTTATGAATATGAATCTTAATCTTAATTTGAATACGTTTGAAAACAATGAATTAGTTGAACAACGATAGTAAAAAAAAAGTTTATACGATTTAACACATTGATACTTTCAACATTATATTAGGTAGTAAGAAATGGGGTAACGTGCGACCTTAGAATTATTTTAAATTGTTTCTTTTTTTTATTTTAATTATAATTTATTAGACTGGTACAAAAAACCTCTACAACGGAGAAATCAACTTGAACAATCTTCGTTACATAATCTGTCGAATTGATAAATATCAGAATCGGAGCTAAAGAGCACGTCGTTTCACTATAGTAAAGAAAACAGAGTTCTTGAAGTATGGCATTTCTTGTCTATGGTTGCTTGTCAATAATTATGGAACTTCATAGGCACGCTTATGTCAAAAGCATGTTAAATGGTTGGAAGGAGTATAAAAATAGTTATTTGTTATGAAGGCTGCAACGTTGTTGTTTGACGCGAGTGCTGTATTGAAACTTGAGCAAGCGAAGGAAGCTAAGATTTCAATCTCAGCTTAGGCTCAGGTCAAAAATAAAATCCTGAGCGTAGCTATGGTTTCGAGCCACGAAACGAAAACAACTTTGCTACCGAGCGAAACACACAACATGTCACCTCATTATAGCGAGGAAAATGGCAGATTAAAGAAAAACAGTTCAACTGTAAGAAATCAGTTTTAATAAACGAAATTATTTATCGTTGTCAATTTAATGTCAACAATAATAAGAATAAATACCAACTAATTTATAAGGATTTATATTACATTTTATCATATATTTATTACATATTACATTAGTTGAATGTGTCATTTTTTTTTCATCGAAAGAAAAAGTTGTGAGGTGCAACACAGTTCATCGTCAGTTAGGATTTCAAAAATCTATTCCACTGTAGCGAGGAAAAAACGCTTTTGCGCGCGGATTTCCCATGAGAAAGAAAGCCGAGCTAGTGAGGTAAAAACGTATTTTTTACACGGTTATACTCTTTGTTTACATTTTGGAAACCTAATTATGATTCATACTGTTCATCATACTTGCTTTTAACAAATAAAACGGAAAAAACCTTGGAACGTCATGAATTAATACTTTATGTGACTGTTACATAATGAAAGGCATGAAAATACGAGTGAGGGTTTCTCACGAGTGTTTTAATGCCTAATTATATACAGGTACATACACTGCTTTATCTACACACATATTATAAGCTCTGTGATGTGTTCAGGAACCGCATGTTACGACTGGCGAAAAGGCGGGAAATAAAAACTTTTCTCACGCATGTCACACAACCGTAGTTTTTATTTAATTCATGGACAAACTAGAGTCGGCCCCAACTATCATATCATTCGACATCAAGTAACGTGTGAAATTGTGAAAATTGTTTGATAATGACATTTAATTTCGAATAAAACTTCATCTCGACTGATATTAGAATTGAGCTCCAATCAAATTGTTTTGTTTTTCAGAGATGTTCGAAATTTGAATGTAATAATAAAATCGAACTCGATGTTATTATGAAATTTGTTCTAACAAAACAGTTTATCATAAAGATAAAATTATATTAAAAAAAAGCTATAGATAAAAAATGACTGGTCGTAATTTGCGATTTTGGAACACATCATAGAGGGTTTATGTGTGTAGATAAATTAATTAAAAGAAAGTTTTACGTACTCTTAATGATAGTATGCTTCGCGGGTGCGTCGACGCTCCAGATGATGATACTGGTGTCCAACGAGCCGGACGCAATGCGCTTTGAATCCGGGGACCAGGCCACGCAGTTGACGCGTGCGGTGTGGAAGCCCCACTCCTTATTATGAGCCAGCTGGAAAGTATAATTATTAAGTATTTACTCTGATGAAAAATCCCAAACAGACATAAGCCTGCAGTACTAATTAATATATTTTAATAATTCTAATTTCCGTTATTAATTAATAAAAAATTTAACTTAATAAAAATTCATATTGTTACAATAAAATAATTTGTTAAACAATGTAGGGTAAATTGGAATGTTTCTTTGTAAAATTAAAATAAGGTATTTAATTAATAATTTTGTAACTATAGTGAAAACATAGAGTGGTTCGCATTAATATTAGACGTAACTGGTTGGTTGTAACACCTGCGACCATGGGACCTGTAAAGGGCCAGAAACGTTGGTTTGTTTGAAAAAACAAATATACGCGATTTAATATGTAACAATCGCGAAAGCCTAAGAACTCGATAAGTACAATTATATTAAACAAAAAGCGTAAATAACGCTAATGCTTAATGGCAATACTCGTCGTAGACGATTCACAACCTTTGGAAAACGTTAACGTTTCGGTCTGGTTGCACTGGCCGTGGTTACGGGGCTAACGGCCCTTTGGTAAATTAAAAATAAGGTATTTAAATTCCTTATATACACGCACATAACATTAATAACTTCATTCATCATTCACTAGCAGCAGAGCTCCTAGGTGGGCGACTTGTTCGGTCCATCACTTGATCTCTACCATATGGTATGGTATTGTCTAGGTGAGGTATAACGTCTGGAACGGTATGCTAGAAGACGTCGATTCGAATCCGGCCGGATCGAAGGGATTTTTTCTGAGTGTTCGATCTTTGTATTAATAATTATAACAAACTAATGGAGTAACTTCACATAAAAAATAATTGAATATCATTTCAATAAAAATTTAAATACAATGAATACCGATATCTCTAGCCGGGACTGGTAGCTGTAAAGGTATCTAACTGGGTGACGAAATATCATAGATTTCTCATAGATGGCGCTACGGCTAAAAAGTCGTTGAAAAACCAAATACAAAGATACGACTCAAGCACATAGAAGAATTCGTGAGGTCCGTTGGTTCGTTCCGTGGCTTAGTTGGTATACCGTCTGGCAAGGTATGCCAGAAGACATCGGTTCGAAGGAATTTTTCCTGAGTGTCCGATCTTTATATTAATAATTATACGTAACTGCACCGATTCGTCTTATCTTTCGAGTACAGTAGGACAAAAGAGTGAGCCGTGTCGGTAACGCACGTGCCATCTGTATAGTGCAAACAACTAGTTTAAACACTTTTACGCATTGACACTTAATTCTAAACTTGATAATCTTTACGGAACTAACTTTGTTGAGTTAGTAAGAAAAGAGTCTGCAGTCGGTATTTTATGAAGTAATTGCGTTCCCATTACGTCGTGACGACAGATAATCGTGCATTTTAAAGTGTCGTGGCTTGTATATTTAAATGAAGTTGTTCATTAGTATAACACGATTAATTGTCGTTTCTTGACGATACGACGACAGGCTGCCAAGTCAATGGGAAGAGCTAGAACGACTGTCGCGTAGGACGATAAATAAAACGTCACCGTAAAAACGTGACGACAGATAATCGCAGCTACTATTGTCGTCACGTTTTATCTATCGTTGTCTGCAGGTGTTCCGCTCCCTACTTTCCCCTCTCGTCTCCCGCGCCCTCGGCTGTGCATCAAAACGATTCTGTCGCGCAAACGACAAGGTGGCTGCCGTGAACCGATAAATTGTCGTGACAATCCAGTGGGAATGATTAGACACGACAGTCGTTGAACGAGAAAAAAAAACGTCCACGACACAGTCACGACAGACAGTCGTGGAACAGGCTAAAAGCGACAGTGAACGAGCCCTCTAGAAATAATTCAAAACTAAAATTCAGAAAAAGCATTTAACGCGTCCATAACTCGTCCGATAATTAAGTCCATATACGCTTTGTGTAAAAGAAGTGTTAATTGATTTTATTGCTGTATTGTAATAGAAAGGATAAGCCGTTCCAAGAGATAACATTAATAGGTGCAAAAATATTTCTTCAACTATACCATCTCAGCCAGTTTCAGGTCACGGTTGGACCACGAGGGCTATATTTTTAACCACATCATTACCTGGTCTCAAAACAAGGAAATTCCACCACCAGTACCAGACCATCGGAGTTCACTCTGTGGCACTGTGACAAGAACCAATCTAGAAAAGTTCATTTCCTGATATCGCTGCCTTTTAAGAACAATGGCACAAACCAAAATAGTTCATATTTTTTTTTGTAATACAGTTGAATTCGGAATGTACTAAATTATATTGTAAAAAAAAACCGAGCTTATTATTAAAAAACACCGAGCTAAAATAAACAAGTGACAACATGGACCGGCGTAGGACTTGTCAACTTTGCGCGTTAGATATTGCTTCAGATGTCTCTGAACCAAAATCATGATGAATTAATTAATTTTCACATAAGTCACTATTCTACAAAGCCATCGATATGATCCTACCGGGAATCGAACCCGGGACCACCTCATCCAGTGCCGACAATATAAACCGACGGACCACCGAAGATTTTCAGCAACAATGAAATTATAACCTTGTAATCTTCTGTGGAGTAGAGGATCAGCTTCCTGTTGGCGTCACACGCCACGAGGTACTGCGAGTCGGGACTGAAACGCACGTCTGTCACCGCGCCCAGGTGTTCCAGTTCCACGCCCGACGTCAGAGTACGCACATCCAGCGTGAACAGGTGCACCTTATTATCAGCGCCTGTCTCAAAAAAAAAACAATATTACAGGTCTACCGCTTAACCGAGTCGGTTCACTATAAAATAAGATTGACACGCAAAGCTAACTATAGAATCGTGCAGACCTCTGTTCAAAAAGTTGAATATCATTAGATAGACACATTTGTAAAACGGGTACTGTTTTACAAATGTGACTATCTTAAAACGTGGAAACAGTTAAACATAAGGAAACTTCAACTTCGACATCAATTTCATAATATGTTGCGGGTACCACATTGTATTGAAAATAGTCCATAATTTATGGACAAAAAATTTTTTAACTCGCTACCTAGTGACCTATGAGATGCCATTACAGCCACTAAACGCATTTAGACGTGAAATAAATATAATGCTACTTAAAGGTTGTTTACTACTCCGTAAATGAATTTCTGGAACGCAAAAACAACTCGCAGATCAAATAAACCGACATCTGTACGACTGAAATACATATCATCTAACCTGTATTTTGCTATGTTAATGTAATATAATCCTTTTTTAAATATATAATAGACACACGCTTGGCCACAATCTCACCCTCCACTCACTCCTTCTCCGTACGCATCAGAAAGGAGGAAGCAAAGCGCTTAGTGCGAACAGGTGGAATATCAACGACAAAAGAATGGAGTGCTCTGGACCTTCTAGTCGACCGAAGGAGGAACGGTGAGGGTGGAACTAAATTGAAAATCATAGTAATAAAATCCTATGATAATTGAATATTGATGTCTTAGACATGATATAAATTTAATACGATAAGATAATCTGAACTAATTAGTGACTTCCATAATTTGTAGTAGTTTACTTAAGAATATTTGTCCGCCATTATGGGTAGATTTTTTGTGACACTTTAGCACTATTATTTACTAAACATCAAATTGTTACACCAAAAAACCACACAAACAAACAAATTTCATTTCATAAATAATATTCGACCAAATTAAAAGAAGCGGGGCTCCTTTTGAAAGAGCTCGACGAGGGAAGTACTGCCACCTTACCTATTTCTGCCGGTAATGTGAACATTACTGCGTTCCGGTTTTGAAGGGTACTGGTGAAATTACAGGCACATGGGACTTGTCAACTTATGTCTAAGGGTGACGGGCGCAGTGGCAGTGCGCCTCAGTTCTTTGCGATTTAACGCTCTGAGTGGCACTGCAACTGTTATGGACAGGCGTGTATCTTACCATCAGGCGCACGATTTGCTGGTCCCGTCGCTTAGTAGTATATAAAAAAGAAGCATGATGCAAATGAAGCTTCATACACGACATTGTCTTTTAATTTACGCACACACTCAACATAGCCCCGCACTAGGAAAACCTTGTGTCGCGGGTGCCATGGACACACACACAGACACACAATTTACACCCAAACTCGCGAGAGAAATAAATGTAGGCAATATAAATATTTATCCCGGCCCGGGAATCGAACCTGGCATCCCTGCGTGGCAGTCAGGCATGGTAGCCGTTCGGACACTAAGGGTCGTATTCTAGAACTCTACTCAATACTCAAGTCAGGACTTGAGTATTGCAGTGAGCACTGAAAATCATACTCAAGTCCTTGCCATTAGAATCGTATTTCCTGTGCTTGAAATCATACTCCAGTCTGCTCAAATCCTGACTTGAGACTTTAGTAGAGTTCTGGAATACGACCCTAAGGCAGTTAACTGGTCTGGACTATTTGGTCTAATATTACTTATTTGACAGTAAATGTTTCAGACGGATGTTGGACGCAGAACGAAAGTAGACCTGAGGTGCGGGAGGAGTGACAGTTCACATAATAGTTATGTCGCTCTGCACAAGGGATAATTTCAACAAGTTTTTTCTGACGATATTAAATGAAAAAATACCAATGTCTTGTCTATTCATTTCAATTATCGTTGCACATAACAACAGTTTACTAATTCGGTACCATTGACTTACAATTATATGGACGTCGGGTCCACGCTAAAAAGTGTCCGAAATTATAGGGCGTTAAAATCGTATATCGTCATTCACGCTTTAGTCTTCGTTTCTTCGACTAACAGCGAAGCAAGCAAAATTAGACAGTACTGCGATGACATTACAATTTAAATTCAACGTTTTAGCTTTTTCATATTCCTTTACATGTCACTACGTTTAAATAGGTTGACTTGGGACATTTTTTTCGTGGTTTTTGTATTAGACCCGTCGTCCATTTATTTGTAAGTCAATGTTCGGTAGGCACATTTTTCAAACAATCTTTTCTTATTTAGTGTTGCCTTGATGAAGCGTTAATTGAGACTGTGTTTTACCCATCGTCATCGTCATTTAATTTGTTTGAAAACAATCTGCCAAATCATTACGGTGATAACTGCGCTCCGGTTGTCAGCCCGAATTCGAAACAATTGACGGGTGACGTCAATCGTTTCACTTGAAAACGAAACTTGAGCCTTGCTATAATGAACGAAAATTTAAAAAATGCTGTTTTTGGAATGAAACAGACCCCCATAGTTAGATATATCTTTATTACAATAAATACAGAGTATTTTTGGAATGTACGGAGACGTACACACAGATCAGTTGTTGGCGCTGTACTATTTCAGCTTTCTAATTTGTGATTTCAGCACAAACGAGAGTTGATATTTAAAAGTGATAGGTCCATTTGCCTCATGAGTTGCCACGGTTGGATGGCCCTTATTTCGTCTCCATTTCTGGTCATATACTCGTTTTACCATTGCCAGAGGCGCCATCTTGTTAGAGCGCTCTTTTAACAAGAAAATATTTGTTTTCATATAATATTGATTGTTTCTCATGTTAAAGATATTTATGTTAAGAAAACTATTAATTTTAATATGGAAAATAATGACAGACATGACATTAATACGAGGAATAAAAATAAACTAGCTGTTGGCTGTCATCTTCACAAAGTCTCAAATTCATTTAAGGAAATGTATACGCTTCTATAATAAGATTCCAATTGACTTTCAATATTTAACATTTACGAGGTTTAAAACTGTAGTGAAACAAAAACTTTATTCTAAAGTCTTCTGGGTGCTTGAATGACAAAAATCCGTGGCAGTCACTCGATAGATGTTAAAATTAAACATTGTCAAAGTCAAAGTCAAAGTCAAAGATGATTTATTCCATAGGTAAAATAAATTTACACTTGAAAACGTCACATTTAAGGTACTGCTCGTTCACTACGCTGACCTCCCTGAGAAGAACGAGCAAGAAACTCTAGGGATTGCTCTTTTCAAATAAACTTAAATGCTATGGAATACATTTTGAATCAAATTTGTGTGGATTCAGGAGCCATGTCGTCTTTCCATACATCTTTATCTAACACGTAGTCTTCAATTTTGTAATATGATTTTTCGATCAAAATATTTTTAATGTAGTTTTTAAACTTAGGAAATGATAAACTTAATATATGCTCCGGAATCTTATTGTAAAAACGTATACAGTTCCCCATAAAAGAGTTGTTTACCTTGGTTAAACGAAATCGTGGTACCATGAGTTTGGACTTAGCTCTAAGGTTAATATTATGGATATCTTCTTTCTTATTGAAATTATGTATATTTTTACGGGCATATAAAATATTTGAGTAAATGTACTGTGATGCCACAGTCATGATACCAGTCTCCTTAAACTTTTCTCTGAGAGATACCCGAGAGCCTAGACGGTACACAGAACGAATCGCTCGTTTTTGCAATACAAATATGGTTTGAATATCTGCCGCTTTACCCCACATGAGAATCCCGTAGGACATTATACTATGGAAGTAACTAAAATAAACTAGTCTAGCAGTACTAACATCGGTAAGCTCACGTATTCTGCGGACTGCGTATGCAGCGGAGCTTAATCTGCTGGCTAGGGACGATATATGTGGAAACCACTGAAGTTTACTATCTAAGGTCACTCCCAAGAAGACTGCTTTATTAACAAGGTCTAACTTTTCTCCGTTTATTTCTATGCTTGGACTAGTCGATTTTACGTTAGGTAATTCAAATTTAACACATTTTGTCTTCTTGGCATTAAGCAATAAATTGTTAGCATTAAACCAATAAACTACTTTAGAGAGGGTATCATTAATACGGTCATAGTTAATGTCATGTCTGTCTGTTTTAAAAATCAAGGATGTGTCATCAGCAAACAACACTATTTCGCAATGGTCCTTAACAAAGAATGGCAGATCATTAATATAAATCAGAAATAAGAAAGGTCCAAGTATTGAGCCCTGCGGAACACCCATTTTTACTGGAGAACCCAAAGAAGTCGCTCCATTTATGCCTACTTTCTGAATTCTACCGTTGAGATATGATGAGACAAGTTTCGACGCCTTGCCATTTACACCGTAATGTTCCAGCTTACTAATAAGAGTATTATGATCAACGCAATCAAATGCCTTTGAGAGGTCACACAAAAACACCAATAGCGTTCTGGGATCTTTCCCAAGCATCAAAGATGTGTTTTAGTAACGCTACCCCCGCATCGCTAGTCGATCTACCACTAGTAAACCCGTATTGTTCACTATGAAAAATATGATTCCTACCGAAATAGGACAGTAATTGAGATAGCATAACCTTTTCGAATATTTTACTTAAAGCTGGTAAAATTGAAATGGGCCTATAGTTGCTAGGATCAACTTTCCTACCGCTTTTGAATAAGGGAATAACCTTGCTGTATTTCATTAAATCGGGAAAAACACCTTCGTCAACGCACCTATTGAAAGCTACAGCTAACTGTGGGGAAATGAGATTAATAACTGAGTCTATAACTTTAGTTGATATGCCCCAGAGATCTTCAGTTTTTTTAACATGTATTGACTTAAAAGCTTTTATGATGTCTTGTGGATTAACATGACGAAAATTAAATAAACTGCCACAAACGTTAACATTTTCCTTTAGGAGATCAATAGCAAGTGAAGGGGAGGAATTTAATGATTTTGTAGTGTTCACAGCAATTTCCGAAAAGAACGATTCAAAAGCTTGGGCTACTTTATCTTTAGATTTTATAAGTTTGCTGTCTAATTCTAAAACTATATCTCTATCGTGTAGTTTAACCCTGCCTGACTCTTTATTTATTATGCTCCAAGTAGTTTTAGATTTATTTATCGATTGTCTAATTTTGTCGCTGTGAAACTTAACCTTAGCAGCTATACAAACTTTTTTAAATATTTTCGAATAAATTCTAACATATTCTATGAAATTGGAATTATTATTATAAGTTTTCATAGCATATAGCTCATACAAACGAGACCTACTCTTATGAATACCTACTGTTGCCCAGTCGTTGAATTTAGTCTCTCTATGGAAAGTTAATGTTTTCGATTTAAATATATTGTCAAATTCATTTTTAATTAAACCAAATATCGTGTTATATAAAGTATTTGGATCCTCCGGTATATGGGATAGGGAATTTAAACTGTTGCCGATATTATTTTGAAATCTAATTATTCGTTCTGTGGTAATCGGTCTGCAGAGAAATTGGTCTACCTTCTTGCTCATTTTACAATTAAAAGAAGCCAATTGGCCACTATGGTCGGATCTTAAGCAATTTATTATTGATTTAGACACTGCGTCTGTGTTACAAAAGATGTTATCAATACAAGTAGAAGAGGAGGCAGTAATGCGAGTTGGTTCTAAAAAAAGATTAATCAAGTTAAAACTTTGAAATAAATTAATGAGTCTTGCAGAAGTAGAACAGTTTTCCAACAGGTTTACATTGAAATCTCCACATATTACTACGTTTTTTTTGGTTGGAAAAATCCGCTTTAAACTGTCTTCCATAATTAATTCAAACTCGTTAAAATTAGCAGAGGGGGGCCTGTATACACATAAGACGACAAACTGATCCAATTCCACACATGAAATCTCAATAGTTCGTTCAGTAGAAAGATTTGTGATATCCTTACGCTCTTTAAATTTTAAGTTACGCTTAATAATAATCATGGATCCGCCTCTACTTAAGCTCTTTCTTATGAACGAACTGACTATTACATAATTTTCTATATTGTTAATGGCTTCGTAATCTTTCAGCCAGTGTTCTGTAACACAAAACACGTCAACGGAAATATCGTGCAAAAAAAGACTTATTTCTAATATTTTGCCAGAAAAGCCTTGAATATTTTGATGTACTACATGGAAACGATTAGACTTTTCTGTTGTCGTGTTTTTTAGTTTAAATTATGGTTAGTAAAATGTATACTGTTGCTACTTAAAGTAGGAGCATTGTCGTGGGACTGTGTTATATCTTCTATAACAGCGTCCTTAATATTAAAAGATAGCAAACTAGCTATATGTCTTAGATACCTTAGGGGTAAAAGTAAATTATCCTCAAAAAGTTTGAAGTTCCTTACGAACTTATTAATGTCAAAACAAAATATAACGTCACTATGACGGCAAGTCAAATTATGTATGTGCGAATTTATGTTATATATATACTTATTACGAGCGACGCCTAGGTTAGAGCAGTAAGGGAATGCACTTAGTATGAATTTACACCCACACTTCTCATGAATTCTCAAGAACACGTCAATGCTACTATTTACTTCTTTTTTACTAATGTTAGTACTATCACCTATTATAAGAATCACTGTTGTATATTTATCAAAGTTGCAATCACTTAACAGTGTAATAATTTGACTAAAAGTAGCTCCTGGATAGCAATAGTTGACTATCCTTTGTTTTAAGTGGTTACTAATTTATAATGATAAATGTATTCAAATGTGTATTTACAAAGAGCAGGCCCTAGAGTCTCTTGCTAATTCTTCTCAGGGGAATCTGCCTCAGGAATGAGCAGTAGAGTTAACAAGTATGACGATTTCAAGTGTAATTTGCGTGTCTATGAAATAATCATTATTTGGCGTTGAATCAATTGCAAAATAACTATGTGCACTTTGAACTCACCGCCGACAGCGACATGTCTAGATTTGGGGTCGATTGCAACGCATGTAGGCTCGAACTTGAGTGGCAGACTCGACTGCTTGCTGTCGCCAATTATAACCAAAAGCTGGAAAAGTACACATTATATATTTTGACGGATTTTAAACGACAGTAATGCTTAGTGCATTTAAAAGCATAAAACGATTTATATGCAGGTGATACTGGTGAAACGTTTATGTATTTTTTTACACTGATAATTATCCATGATAACATTGATAACATAATTATCCAAGATAATTTTCTGTGCATTCTACTTCGTACTATTTCTCATTACAATGATTTGTTTATTATTGTTATCTGGTAAAAATAAATAATTATATAGTCAGTGCCTGGGTGGTTAAATTGATATTCGCGCTGACTGTACTTATTACAATTTAACAGGTACAGTCAAGAGCACGTCAATCTTGACACTTTGTACTTTGGACCGTTCTTGTCCTTAGCGGCATGGAGTTTAAGTCTTAAGTGTCAAGGTTCACGTGCTCCTAACCCTGTACAAGGTCCAGTACACGTCAAGCTTGACACTTTAAATATACCCGACTCTATACCCTTTGCGATAAAAACCAGCAAAAATATCATACCTCTTTGACTGTAGCAATAATTGTAGTATCGTCATCCAGAATGTAATCCATTCCGCGCGGCTGCGACCCCAGGGGCACAGATTCGGCAGTGTACGTCGGTACCTCGCCTGGCAGCAAAACAAAAAAATATTATGGAACCAGCCTTCACACTGTATCACGGACATTATCAATTGCCACAAAAAGAAATAGAATGTAACAACTTTTTAACTGCCTACGTGGCTTAACGGTTACCATGCTGGTCTGCCACGCAGAGGTCCCGCGTTCGATTCCCGGGCCGGGAGAAATACCTACAAACCGTGACTGGTAGGATTACCTCTCCCACGTGGCGACGCTTCGTGAGAAAGGTGATTTGAAAATTAATGTAAAAAAAAAATTATCTAATAACACTAATTTATAAGCACTTTTCTAGTTATTATTACTAACAACTTATGAAACTCGTTGTCTGAAATAAAATAATTTTAATTTTTTTTAAGGGTAGCGAACTAGGGGATGAATTCGATTTCGCGGATTTTCCGGTAACCGATTTCAATAAAACTTGGCCAATAGACGTAATTCCACGAACTTTTAAGGTAGGTTTTTTTGTAAAAAAGTTCGATCCACTTGTTATTGAAAAAAAATTGTTATTAGCCATTGACTTACAATTAGATGGACGTCGGGTCCGCGCTAAAAAGTGTCCGCACTTGTAAGGCGCTAAAATCGTATACAGAGCGCCAAACTCCGCTTTAGTCTTCATTTGTTCGACTGACAGCGCGATACTGCGATGACATTACAATTTAAATTTCGAATAGGTTGACTTGGGACATTTTTTCGTGGTTTTTGTATTAGACCCGTCGTCCATTCATTTGTAAGTCAATGTTATTAGCAGAAAAATCTTGTTGAACTTATCCCGTGCAAAACTCGACATAACTGTTACTTTCATTCCTCCCTCACCACGCAACTACTTCAAGAACCGACTCAGTAGCTACCGCTTACGATAAGCCTGTATAATGATAATTATTTTTTACAATAATATCAAGTGACGGGACGAACAAGTCGTGTGAACACGCCTGTCCATAACAGTTGCAGTGTCATTGAGTGCTTTAAATCGCAAGACATAAGTTGACAAGTCCCATGTGACTGTAAATTCACCAGCACCCTTACCCTTCAAAACCGGAATTCAGTAATGCTGACATTATTGCTTGGCGGCAGAAATAGGCATGGTGGCAGTACTACCCTGGACGAGCTCTTTCACAAGGCTCTAATGCTACTAAGTATTTGACCTCCATCTCACCTGATGGAAAGTGACGATAAGATTCCTGAAGGAAGTCGAGTGGCACGAGGGTCCCGCACCCACGTTGAGTTGCAGAAACCAGCCCGTTACGCTATACCATAGTCAGAGGAGGAACGATGCGGGTAATTGCACTTAAAAAGATACCTTCAGCTTGGGGCTTGCCACGTCGAAGAGAATCGTCGATGCCGCACGTAAGCAGCGAACCGTCCTTCGTGGCGCGCATGCCGTTGACCTGGTTGCCGTGCCCTTGTCCCAAGATGTGACGGCCTTCACCTGGACGAAACAACAAACAATATAATACATAATAAATAATAATAATTACATGAGATTATTGACCCGAAACAGCACTATAGTCTGTCTTTTTGAAGATGGAGTAAAAAGACAGTTCTTTTTTTTTTAATTTATTGCATGACCTGGATACAAAGTCCTTGAGTCGAAAACATGTTAACACTAACAAAACAAAGGCTTGGAACTTAGAACATATTCAAATTAAGTAATTATTTACAAATATGTTAACAATTAAATTTTTTCTACAGTACTTATAATACACTTATATGAGTGGAATAAAAAACACATTATTGGATAGTACGTCCTGAACGCGGCGGGGAACACTGACTGGTTTCGCACACAACTGCTGTCACTTGTGTCTTTCAAAAGAAGAGACCGTTGGTTGTTGCAAGTTAGGTCAGTTGAAAATAATATGCTTTAAAACTGCTTCTTCTTCAGTGCAGTTGGGACATCGTGTGTTATTTAGCACCGTTATTCTATTCAGATGAGTCGGAACCACAGACATATATCTAGATAGACGCCGCAAGTACATAAATTTGTATGAAAACCGAACGTGACACATTGTATGTATCCACCACGACGTCACAAGAACTATTTAGTGATGAGAAACCTTCCGCGCTAAATCGATTGATTGAACGGAATACACGTATTCCATTCAATTAATCGATTCAAGTATTCGTTGAAAGTAGTCGTGAAATATTAATACAGTAGAAAAATATCAAAACAAGATAGTTACGTCCTTTATTAAAAGTTGTTTTTAAAAAATTTTGATTACTTAATAATTTAAACTTTAATTTTTAATCAACTTCAAATATTAAAACTATTGTCCTTGAAATATATAACTGTCTTTTGTAATAGAAGATGAATTTTGTGAAGTCATGGAACACCATGACTTCACAAAATTCACCAAAAATAAACTTTGAAAATTTTGTTGTAATATCTGAGACACTTCAGGTCTGTATTTGGTAGTATTTATACAGGGTGGAAATTTGTAATGCCACCTGTAGGGAAAGTACTCTAAATACTGGAGATAGAAATTTTTACTTAAAGGAAACATTCCTTACTTTTTTAAAAGAAATAAAACTGCATTCATAGATTTTCGAAAATTTCTAGCAGCACGCGGGAATCGAACCCGCTTTAATCTGAAAAAAATGCACCCTGCACTTTCATTGCATCGATCGATAGGGTTAATTATAAAAATAAAATCTCTCTCACAAAATTTTTTAAAAACCATGAAATCTTAACGTATTTTAATAAAACGAAAAAAATGGTAATCTAACTAATTAGTTGCTCGAAATGAGCTCCATTTTCTTGGATACACAAATTTAATCTTTTAACGAATTCATTTTTCAATTGTTTCACTTCAAACTGTCCAGTTTGAGCTTTGCTATAATGGACGAATATTGTAAAATCACTTATTTAATTACCGTTGAAATGTGATTCCGTTTTATTTGTAATTAGATGTTTTGCTGTTTTTCCCACACCACCGAATGGAACAGTACGCCATTGTTATAGATATTATCTCTATTACAATAAATACAGAATATTTTTGGAATATACGGAGACGTACACACAGGTCAGGTTGCCATGATAGATGGCCCTTATTTCGTCTCTATTTCTGGTTATATACTCGATGATTAAAAGCAAATACCTTAGCCAACGAGCTCAACACTCTACGCGCGAGATCAATGTTGTTTTTTCATCATTACATTGTTGTATTAAACATAGAAATACCACTAAGTAATTTCCTTAATGTACCACATACCTGTGCTGACGTTCCACGAAGTAACACAACCGTCATGGCTGGCCGTGTAGACAGTGTGTCGGTCAGGGTGGAGCGCGAGACACGTGATGGGTTTATTGTGACCCATCAGGACCTGCCACGGTGTGTCAGGGTTGTTCACGTCCAGGTAATTGATCACACCTGACAGCGACACCGAGAGGAGATGCTTTCCTTGCCAAAGACAAGATACCTGAAGGAGTTGAATACGTCGTTAAAATTCTATAACAAAATTCAAATGAACCAATCCCGTGGCTGTAATATCACGTTGAACAGTTGGACTTCAAAACACCCAATCACAAAATTAATTATATATTTGGGAAATGGAAAAAGGAACAGTAGCCAACTGTAATACTAAGTTCTGTTAAAATAAGTTACTGCAAAATAAACACTGAATACTTAAAAAAAATTATTCACATTTACCAAAACAGGAAAAGCTTGTTCAAATTACAAATCTACGAAAAAATCTTTACTTCCGAATAAAAATACTAGAGTTTCAAAAGAAATGCTTCTATAAAAACGTTTTTACCACACTGCAGAAAGCTTAATTTACATTATTGGTTATAAATTTTCTTCTTCTCAATTATAATGAAAGTAATATCATATTTAAAAAAACCAGCTTATTTCTCTCTCAAGTTTTCAATTCCAATACATCATAATTCTAAAATTAATTAAAGCAAAAGATTCATTCAGTCAATACCTGTTGATTCTCCACAGCAGTGCCCATATTGAAGAGCGTGGTGCGTTGCATGGTCTCCACGTCCCAGATGGCACATGTCTTGTCCCCGGAACAGGATAACAGTTGAGTGCCGTCAGGCGACCACGAGATGCCGTACACGCCACCCTTATGAGCAGGTGAACCGATCTGCAAGGTCCAAATAATGTCTTATTGCATGAGATGTACCCAGACTGCATTTCTTGCAGGTCATTATAAAATAGGGGTTCAGAAAGAGACTTTTTTATTTAAATTATGGATACGACGTAGACGTTTCGATTCGCTTTAATGTTGAAACGATTTTCTTAAAAATCACATAGAAATTATACGATACAAAAAAATCGCTAGTACGTGCACAATTTTTAATAATAATAATAATATATTTATTCAAAGAAAGAAAGAAACAGTAACAAGATTATAACAAAGACAGAAAAACTTAAAGCCTAACTAGCCATTTATAGATATAAATAAAGTGCAAAATAGGAACAATGGTTTGATTGATGTTTTATTAGAAAACTCTCTTGCGGCGATGTAAGGATTTAATTTTAATTTAAGAAAATTATCTTGAGTGGAAAAGTTGTGTGAGTATGGAATAATATTAATAAGCAATAACAATATACAAGTGATATACTTTGTGTGTTTGTCTTGTGTAGTGTGATTAAGATTATAATAATATATATGAAGTACGCTAATTTTTAACCGGTAAATTAAATCGTAAAATTGAATCGATCTCTCGTAATGCGTATCCCTAGTCACTTTGTTATTGAGAACACGTTATAATAATGACAAGGTGGCTACTTACCTGTACCAGCTCGGCAGTCAAATTTTATGACTGTACGCGCCGAACACGAGCGGGTTAGGTTCGCTTAAGAAGAGTAGTAGAAGTGGACTGTATGGAGAAAGAATGTCTGGAGAGGGAAGCATTGGTAAGTAGAGGTATAGCTGTACGACTGAATTATGCTCATCGAGTATATCACCAGAAATAGTTACGAAATAAGGGCCATATATTCCTGGTATTAGCGATACAGCTCTTATAAATATCAACTCCCGTTTGCACTGAAATATAGGCAGGTTAACTACTGACCTGTGTACGTATCCGTACATTCCAAAAAATATTCTGTATTAATTGTAATAAAGATAATATCTCTAACAATGCCGTGCTGTTCTATTCGGTGGTGTGGGAAATACCGCAAAACATCTAATTACAAAACAAACGGAATCACATGTCATCGGTAATTAAATATTGAATATGTAATTTTGCAATTTTCGTCCATTATAGCAAAGCTCAAGTTAACTGGTCGATTTGTTGTTATTGTTATTGAAACAGTTGACGACACCCGTCAATTGTTTCGAACTCGGGCTAGCCAATCGGAGCGCAGTTGTCACAGTAATGGTATGGCAGAATAGTTTAAATATAGAATAGTAAATGACATTTCGTCTCTATTTCTGGTTATATACTCGATGACTATGCTACACTGACGTTAGAGGTGGACTTCGTGGTCGTAATCGCTCTTCCTCTACTTCCAGCAGGCCTCTAAATGTCTCCTACAAATGCGGCGGTACTCGTGGCGGTTCCATTGATGCGGTGGCGGTCAGAGGTGACTCCAAGTTACTATGATCACTTGCTTTATCACCGTTTAACAGTACAGTACAGTAACACACAGAAAGAGATCAAAAGACAGCGGTATTTCACACACGGCGAAATAAGAAATGGGTGAAACTACGGAGAGTACGTTAGTTCAATATGGCGGTGAATCCACAGAGCTAAGCGAGTGTTGATGGCTGGTCCAAGGCGGACGCACGTTACCCAGGACGGTTAGTTGAAGACTGTTCCAAGTACGAACAGCAATCCAGTTGCAGCGGAGTAAAAAGGATAGCGGTATAAATGATAAAGGGAAATGAGGGTAGGTGGACTTAAATCTAAGCACCGTCTGCCTTAGTATCGTCGCGAACAGTACCTCTCCCCTCAATTCCGAGGTGGCTCCATCGTAGAGGTAGATTTTTCCGTCGAAGCCAGCTGAGGCGAAGAGACTGCCATCAGGGTTGTACCGCACGGCTTGTGCGAATCGAGTGTGCTCCTAGAAGAACAATTATAAATAAACATTTCCGTTAATACCATTTCTTAGCCACCTTTTCTTTTTTCTTTGTTCCTAAACGTTAACTAATGTACACAGAGTGGATAACGTCTCCCGAATCATTGACTTACAAATAAATGGACGACGGGTCTAATACAAAAACCACGAAAAAAATGTCCCAAGTCAACCTATTTCAACGTAGTGGCATGTAAAGGAATATGAAAAAGCTAAAACGTTGAATTTAAATTGCAATGTCATCGCAGTACTGTCTAATTTTGCTTGCTTCGCTGTCAGTCGAACAAACGAAGACTAAAGCGTGAATGACGCTCTGTATACGATTTTAACGCCCTATAAGTTCGACCCGACGTCCATATAATTGTAAGTCAATGTCCCGAATCCCGGAAATTTCCGTAGCAGTAAAGCTCCTTGTGAAGGAGTTCGCCCAGGGAAGTACTGCCACCTTACCTTTTTCTGCTGCCAAGCAGTAATGTCAGCATTACTGTGTTCCGGTTTGTGCATCGGACTTGCCAACTTATGTCTCTATAGTGACGGGCGCAGTGGCAGTGCCCCTCAGATCATTGCGATTTCAAGCGTTGAGAGTTCGTCCCGCCACACGGTATAATAAAAAAAATGGTATTTCAGGGCAGTGTATGACGTCAGCGACATTAGCAATAATTTGGAAAACGTACTTTACCAAATTAGTTCCGGTCGGAGTCTTTGGGTCGTGCTCCGTTGCGAGCGTTTTGGGTTGTGTCCCGGTCTGAGCGTTTTGGGTTGTGCCCCGGTCTGAGCGTTTTGGGTTGTGCCCCGGTCTGAGTGTTTTAGATCGTGCCCCGGTCTGAGTTTTTGGACGGTGCTCCGGTCTGAGCGTTTTGGGTCGTGGCCCGGTCTGAGTGTTTTGGGTCGTGCCCCGGTGTGAACACCATTGTTTTGGTACAGGAAATTCCCTAGTTTGCGAATGTGTGTGGCTGTCAGGTAGATTATTATTAATTACGTAAGGTATAACAAAATGTATAATATGACATCCTAACCTGCTTAGTGCACCTGAATTTGAACGGCGGGCCTTCGAAAACGGCGATGGTGTTGTCCTCAGATGCCGTTACGATGCGGAACGGACGTGTGGGCCGAAAATCAACAGAATTGATTGGCTTCGACTGCCCGCTAATCTCGCCCACAGAAGTGCCGGTCTCGGACATGAACACGTGGCCGAACCTAATAAAACAAAAAGTTGATTAACTTATTTATCTATTTTAAACATCTATTGGCTTCCCTGGTGACTCTAAAGTAGAAGTAGAGCTCCTTGTGTAAGAGTTCATCCGGGGAAGTACTGCCATCACACCTATTTCTACCGCTCCGGTTTTGAAGGGTAAGGATTAGTAATTTATTTATTTTATTTATTTCATACAAATAAGGCATACAAGAAAACAAAATACAATTTCTTACTAAACTACGAAAGCCAGTTAACTAAATTTACACGCTTTCAAGAAGCATAAATTTTAAGTTTTGCACCAAAGTGTTTTTAGTTTTTTACTTAAAAATTCTCTGCCTCTCATAAATCTAATTTATTAAATATAATTGGCAAGAAATGTACAAGTGCTTTACTGGGTGTTTGTGGTATCGTCGTCTTTTTTTTCGATTTCCTTGACGCAAATGCTTTTGTTATTTTGGGATCAACGTAACGATTTTGTCAATTCCTCAAAGAATATTCTTCGAACCACGTCCTTTTATCATTGAAGGTGAGATCTAATCTCAAATGTACACTAAAGTTGGAAGTAGAGACGCTCACCGTTCCCGGCCTTCACCGACGACGACCATGCGTTGGTTATCAGCACTCCAAGCAATGTCCTTGATAGGACCACCGATGGGCTGGAATTCATTCTTGAGAATATGCTCCTTATTCACAGTGTCCCAGATGCGAACTTTGCCCGACGCGTCTGTAATTCAAAAAAATATTTATTATAAAACAAGCTACTTCAAAGCAGGGTTCGAAATTATAAAGATATTTAAAGGTTAAGATAAATTTATTTCAACATAACTTAGATTAAGTTATGCTGATACAATATAAGTAAAACAAGTGTAAATAAAGCTATTATAGTATTCAAATAAACATTAAAAAGGGAATCTAAATTATACATTGTTCATAGTTAAGTTATAGATTTTAATATTAGAACCTAATGTGTAATTGCGATGCCTAAACAAGTTAAATGAATGTATTTTAGGCATCTTTTTAAGCAAACTTCTTAATTTTTCTATATTTGACAGTAAAGTAATTAGCAGTTATAAATTAATGGTTACCTATGTAAAAATAAATATGAAACCATCGATACCTTATATAGTATCGATGTATGAAACGTCTTCTAGCGCGCTCTCTGTTTAATTGTAAGTTTTACTCTTAAGAGGGAGCAGAGGAAAAATTCCTAATCTTCGATTTGATTTTAGAGGGGTATATCCACTTTAAAGTTAAAAATAAAATATTGTATGAGTAACTACACGATATATTCAAGCATAGACACTAATCAGAAACATAAAACAATAAAGTTTCCTCGATAGATAAAAATCACGAAATGACCTCTAATTTTCACATTTTTTCGATTCATCCTCGAAATGCTACAGGTTATTAGGACAAAAATTAGATAATTAATTATATTTATGCATGATCGACAACAGTCACTACGGATTTTTTTAAATCCATTTAGTTTTAGAGTTATTCCGCTAAAACGAATTTGGTACTTTTAATGCGCAAAATTCAACATCTCCTGTCGCATGTCACGCGAACTGCAGGCATATATTTCTTTCACAAAGTTGGGCGGAGCCAACGTCAAAACTTTTTTGGCATGTTCCCTCTTAAGCCACAATTTGACGGTCTTTTTACATTCTATTTTATACATGGCGAAATAATGCAAAGTAGACATCCAACAAGTAGAATTTAATTAAATGTAACGGAATGTAATATATATAGGATGCAAAATAATCTATGCGAATGTGCAGTGCGGAGTTGTGTGTGAGATGAAAAGGCATCGAGTCGTCTGAGGTTGGTTAAAATTAATTGAATTGATTAAAGTAAATTTTATCATGATAAAGCTTCTGCTGTCCATATTTTTTCTTCTAATACAATAAAATGATCCTTACATGAGACCAAGCCTATTAGCATATTTAAAAAATTGTGAAATTGATTGATTTTGTACGAAGAACATTTTATTAAATTTGACAAACTTTTGTTATCTCGATTTTTTCTTCCCATACAATCAAATGACCCTTAAATGAAATCAGTTTCATCATTTATCAGCATTCTAAAATAAATAATAATAAATTTTATTCATTTCCATGCAGAATTCGCGCTTGACAAAAAAATTGTCTATGCCAAAAATAGAATTTCACAAAAAATAAACTTCAAGTTACTTAAGACAGTTTCTTGTATCTCCTAAAGTTCCGGATTTCTCCATATTGTCCCAGTTAAAAAAAACACAATGTAATATCTGATAATTATCGACGCAGATACATGGCTTTGTCTCTTTAAATTTTTGACTAAAAATGACAAATAGTGGAACAACTAAATAAACAAGGAGGAAAATCTTGGGGAAAACCATTCGGTTTGTTTTGAGACTGACATTGTACACGTTTGGACACGTATCTGATAAAAACAATGACATGACAGTGCCCCTCAGGTCTTTGGGATTTAAAGCTCTGAGTGGCACTGCAATTACTGTGTGTAGACTTGTCGCTTAGCCCCAGGCGCAAGACTTATTCGTCCCTTTACTTAAAACTTTTCAAAAATCGTTTTAATCAGGTAACTACACAATTTTTAAGACACAATATTGAATAAGCAACGTATGGTTTATGTACTACATCGCATAGCATTTATTCTAAATTCTTTTAAATATACCATATAGTAGCAGTAGAGCTCCTTGTGAAAGAGTTCGTCCAGGGAAGTACTGCCACCTTACCTATTTCTGCCGCCAAGCGGTGATGTGAGCATTACTGCGTTCCGGTTTTGAAGGGTATTATATATAAGGGTGAAATTACAAGCACATGGGACTTGTCAACTTATGTCTCAGGATGACGGGCGCAAAGGGAGTGCTCCTCAGGTCTTTGCGATTTAAAACTCTGAGTGACATTGCATATGTTATGGACAGGAGCGTCGCTTTCCAACAGGCGCACGACTTGTTCGTGCCGTTACTGGGTATAATAATAAAAAAGAAATATCTTTCGCTTTCGCCGCAGGTTTTTAATCAGCCATGAAAAGCTTCCAGCACGCTCCAATTTTCGCAACATGTCGTGGGCAGAACATAATCACGTTAGCACGTAAATATCTCAAGACAATATATTAAAAAAAAAAATCTTGGCAACAATAATTAAAAGCTTAAGCCATAGTTCATAATCAAAATTTACGTCTGTGGGCGAATTTTGTCTGTTTGTTTTTATTTCATTATAACGCAGCATTACAAAAAGTTTAGAAGTTTCAAAATGGCCACCACAAAAATGTACCAATTTATCGCGCAAAAATGTCAGAAAATTAAACTATTGAAGAAATATTACATCAGATCTGGCTGAAATAGCCAAGACGCCGTAGCCTGTCCCGAAGGACGAAAAAGTTTACTACTACCAGGTACTACAAAGGTTCAGTGAATATTTTGAGCCAAGAGCTCAAATGCATTTAGAAATATTCAAAAATACATTAATCATTGTCAATAACTAATTATCTTACATGGAATGTATTAAAAAATGCAAACGGTAAAAAACACGCGGTCCCAAAATTTCCATGTGTACATTTTAGCGTCTCTAATTTTACATGACATCAGTAAATCGAATTTACACACTTAAGCACACTTCGCATTCGCAAAATAATACCCATTTGCATTTTGCCATCAATAAATATTGTTGAAACTGGTATTCGGAGAAAGCGCCACATTTACAAGATATACATACATGCAGATGTTTCCCGCTCGCGTAACAGGTTTTTTTTTCTTAAGTTGGTAGCTCTTTACTTGCTTGTATGTCATATTTAGTTCAATTCGATATTTGAAAATACCCCATAGTACTACGCATATTGTTCTTATGTAATATTTAGTAAGAATACATCAATAGGTAATAGATTAATATAATCGCTTAGCACATAACGCCGCTCAAGTCGAAAAATGGCGATTTTTACTTTTGAAATTTGCTAGGTACCTCAAGTCAACAACGTGAATACCGATAAAAAATATATGACCAACCTTAGAATAATAACGCATAGAATGATAGTTTCATAACTGTCACAAGTGAGGCAAAAATCAAATTCATGTAGGCTAGTTTTAGTAGTAGGTTAATTTTCGGTTTTAGTGAATATTTACATAAAAATATAAGTTGAAGCGCGTTACTTCCTTGTGGAATGTGATGTTAGTATCTATTTTATGTTTGTCTGACGTATTTTTGCACTCATTTACCGCACATTTCGTCATTTTCAGCTAACATTCAGCTCTTCGCGGTGCAAGTTGACCTTGAGCACTGAGCGCCCGCCCGCTCGTGTAGGCCCTTTGGGAGCGCTTCAATTTGCCTCACTTAGCGTGTGCGGGCTAGGTTTCTATGCGTTATTATTCTAAGTGACCAACACAGTTATTATCCATAAACAGAGCACCTTTTACTAACATAAGCTATTTAAGTTTCCTTTTTTTCTTGAGCCGAATAGTATTTTCTTTCTTTCAAAAATCTTGTATACAATAATAAATGCAGCTGAGAGGTAGCGTTTGCTAAGAGACGATACAGTGTACAATATTAGCAGACAAAAGATGGTTGATATTGTGTAAATTATTTATCAATGTAAACATAGCGTCTCATTGGCTGGTCACAGGTCTAAGGAGAGAATTTAGACAATAGACCGCCACGCCTTACACGCTAGCAAGAGATATTGGTACTAAACAATCACAAATAAACGTAAAAATTTTAGATCAACGTGAACAATACTTTTTTTAAACCAAGTCACGGGAACACCTTCCTTTCTAGATAACTGTTGATTATAACGACCCTCCCTACCGACCCTTAGGGTACACGAGGAGGGGACTATAGCCTGTACAAGCACAGGGATCTTCCCTGTACGATCCTGAGCCCAGGTCAGCCTGTTTGCAAAGATTTCATCCGGTTCTCAAAAGCCTAGTGCCTTGGGAGCTGCCCAGGGTGCACGTACAGCACCCTCCCTATTTTCCAGTTAATTATCACTCCAAGTACTGTTGCGCATTGCGCAACTAACGGTTGCCACCGCTGACCTGTTGACTATAAAGTCCACTACCAAAACTCCATTTTGGTGGCGGAGCTGTAGGCACCTCACCTCCCGACGTCGCCAGTTCCCAGAAACCTATGCGTCTGGATCCTATAGGATAGGATATCTAGCTTATCCTCTACTAGCTCTCCGAGCTAGTGCCGGAGCCGGCTAGCGCCTGTAAGCGACAGCATTTGAAGTGCCACTCAGAACTTGAAGTTGTAAAGATAATAAGATAAATATAATAAGAATAAAATTCGAATATTATTTGTTTCGAAAGTTTCTCATCTATACTTTACTGCCTTCGTGACCGAACGGTTGCCAGGACCGCCACGCAGAGGTCCCAGGTTCGATTCTAGGGCCGGGATAAATATTTGTATGCCCTACATTTATGTACCTCGTGATTTTGGGTGTAATTTATGGTTGTCTTATATGTGTCCATGGCACCTGCGACATAGGGTTTCCCTAGTGCGGGGCTATGTTTAGTGTGTGCGTTATTATTATTACTTTCAAAGATTCCGGACATTTTCGCCATACTAATAGCTATTATTAAGAATGAATTCACCGTTATTTGCATATCGTGTCGACTTTTCCAGTGGGCGCGCAATTCTTGCGGAAGCGTATTTTATCAACGAGATCTTTACAGCTTTAATTCTGGAGAGATCTACGCTCTAGTTGGCGTACCGCCAGCCGCACGCTGCCCATCAGAATGATAAACCCACATGCTTATGTCTGTTAGAGAGTTACTACACTTAATCAAAGCTGAATCGACATGAGCCGATCCGAAAAAAGTTTATTACAGAGAGTTAAGAGCGTTCGCGCACTACGCGTTCATATCACGACCCCGATTCGGAACTCTTCGATATTTTACCGAATCGTTGGATTGGATATCGTTCTCGAATCGAAGGGAGCTTTCCGAGCTATTCAGAACATTCGAGTTAAAACGTTCGATTTGGATTCGGATACGATATCGTTATCTAACAGCGTTTACGAAGTTAGTCGGTGAAATAGATTATAAGAAAAATGAAAATCGTTTTATATACATTTTTAAGACTTTAAAGGCATAAAGTCTTGCATTAAAATAAATTAATAAAACTGAACATAATCCAGACTTTATTTAAAATGATAAGAGATTTCCATATCACATTCTTGCTAAACAATAGGACGTCCGGTTTGTAGCCTTTGCCGGTCGAGAAGTTCGAGCAGTCGTATGGGTGTGACGTCAATTCCGGTGTTGTGAATAAAAATGAAAAGAAATCGTTCGACAACTAAGTTATCGTAAGGTGCTCAAGCAACAACAACTGCAAACCGGAACGCAGTGTGTAATGCTTATTTACAATGTTGGCAGCTTAGAATAATAACGCATAGAATGATAGTTTCATATCAAACGAACTGTCTAAAGTGAGGCAAAAATCAAATTCATGTAGGCTAGTTTTAGTAGTACGTTAATTTTCGGTTTTAGTGAATATTTATATAAAAATACAAGTTGAAACGCCTCACTTCCTTGTGGAATGTGATGTTAGTATCTATTTTATGTTTGTCTGACGTATTTTTACACTAATTTACCGCACATTTCGTCATTTTTAGCTAAAATTCTTGATCTGTTCGCGGTGCAAGCTGACCTTGAGCACTGAAGGTCCGCCCGCTCGTGTAGGCCCTTTGGGCGCGCTTCAATTTGCCTCACTTAGCGTGAGCGGACTAGGTTTCTATGCGTTATTATTCTAAGGTTGGCAGTATTTCCCTGGACGAGTTCTTTCACAAAGAGAGCATCGTCAACGTCACATTATTACTGTCAGTTGGATAATTGTGCTTAAAATTTGTGTCAGCTACAAGACTGATTCAACTTTCAATGCAATTACATAAACCAGGAAAACTTATACGAGGTAATAACTCATTTGTCACTAAGTATGTATGTACTACAATACTGCTGTACATTAACAACGTAATCGATCGTTTTTAACGAAATTGAATTATTAACATGTCTGCGAAATGAGATCTACAATCTATATACTAGATATTGTACATAGCATAATGAACTTTGTGGTCGATTGTGTAACGTACAAACTAGATACGAGTCTAAGCCTTCCGCGGAATGCGCGAGCATTTTCGAGCATGCGCGAGAATTCCGACTTGATGATTCCTCTTTTTTTAGAAAGAGGTACCTCCATAGTCCCATTTAAATTTGAAGAAAATATTCCACCTCTAAGGGTCGTATTCTAGATTATGGTTTAAAACACTTGATATCATACTCAAGTCCCTGCCATTAGGGTCGTATTTCCAGTGCAGGCAGGGACTTGAGTATGATTTCGAGTTACCATACTCAAATCCTGACTTGAGCATTGAGTAGTGTTCTAGAATACGGCCCTAAGTGTGGCAAACTAGGGGATGAATCCGGTTTCGCGCACTATCCGGTAACCGATTTCAATAAAACTTGGCAAATAGACATCTCTAGCCGGTACTGGTAGCTGTAAAGGTATCTAACTGAGTGACGAAATACTGTCATAGATTTCTCATAGATGGCGCTACGGCTACAAAGTCGTTGAAACCAAATACGTGAGGTCCGCTGGTGCGTTCCGATGCTTAGTTGGTATAGCGTCTCGCACGGTTTGCTAGAAGACGTCGTCGGTTCGAATCCGGCCGATTCGAAGGAATTTTTCAAAATGTTCGATCTTTGTATTAATAATTATAACAAACTAGTGGAGTAATTTCACATGAAAAACAATTGAATATCAGTTCAATAAAAATTTAATTTTCTGTCCGACTTAATGCGATTCCCTGTCGGTAAGTGTGGAGACTCCCTTAGCGTAGTGTTAAATGCTGGTGTCGATATAATAATGAATATTTCTCCCATTTGCGTTCCATTACAATTCATCCAATTGTGAATAAAGTTTTGTGATTGATAAATTGAAATTTTATTTCTTCTTTATTTCATAGGATAAGCAAATTACACTCACTAATCAGTATGACGATTTCATCGTCATACAGATTAAACTCTACTGCTCATTCGTAAAGCAGATTCCCCTGATAACAATGAGCAAGAAAGTCTACATGCCGTTCTTTGCAAAATTAATATATATTCGAATACATTTATCATTACAATATTTAAACATATTAAGATCGAGACTGCCTGCAAGAGCTAAACGGGTCACTACTACGGATTTTGCCATCCAAGTATGCAGAAGCTGTATAATATAACCTTTAGTATAAAGTTTTTGTTTCACTATAGTTTTATACCACATAAGTGGCAAGTTTTGAATATCGGAATCTTATTATAGAATGCACACACTCAAACATAGCCCCGCACTAGGGAAACCTGTGTCGCGGGTGCCATGGACACACACATAGACAACCACAAATTACACCCAAACTCACGAGAGAAATAACTGTAGGCCATACAAATATTTCTCCCGGCCCGGGAATCGAACCTGGGACCTCTGCGTGGCAGTCCGGCATGGTAACCGTTCGGCCACGGAGGCAGTTTAGAAGCATATACATAGGCCCTTAAACAATTTTGAGACTTTATTGAGACAACCGTCAGACACAGCTAGTTTATTTTAAATCCTCGTATTAAAGTTATGTCACTATTTTTCGTAAAAAAGTTATTATTTATTATGCACATGCTCTCAAGTTTCTGAAGTACTAGAACTGTAGCGGACTGTATCAATGGAGTTCCGATGGGTGGGTAGGAGTCAGCAAGTCCAAAGGAAACATAATTAGTTTATTTACATGACCACTACAATTACAATAGAAAAACAGAAACAATAGTGAAAAGGAAGAAAAAGGCAAAAAACAAGTATATGTAAATTTAAAATTTCAATTTAAAACTAAACTGTTAAAAAGACTAGATAAAATATATGTACAAAAAGATAAGTAGTGAACGTTGCGATTCCTTACAAGAACCAATCACACTCACCACTCGAGTGTCTACAGCCAAAGAGGCAGTTACTTTGCAGATGCACTCACAAAAACAGTTTTGTTCTCATAAATTTACATATCGCATGTTTAAACAATAACACCACTAAACAAAAAATTTGCTGAGCAAAATGGCCACTTGAGTTTCTGCTAATAAAAAAGAGAGATTTTTGTTTTAGTTATTGTATTAGCATCAATGTATATATATATAATAATAATATGTAGTGAATTTACATCTTAATATAATACTGCGATAAGTGGTACAAAGATTATGAAAAGGAAAATTAATGGTCTATCCACACATATCCGGGCCGTGCTCCATCAGGGGCTCAAAAAAATATTGTTGCGTATATTTTGTATGAACTTGTTCATACAAAGCAGTTTATACAAACTAGCACGCCCCGGCCACGTCTCGGGTACGGCCCTGATGTGTGTGGATAGTAATTAAAGGTGTAAAAAATATTTGAAGTGTTAACAATGATAATAAAAGGGTATATTGATAAATAAATACATGCGTCATCACGCTTGTCATCCACCTGTCACACTCCTGATAAGCCTGCTCCACCTCGTCCACTTCTATCAGTCCCTTCATACATGCCCGTTTATTCGAGGTACTTTAAACCACGTCTCGTTTAAAAACGTCACCAATCTGATTGGGATATACACACCAAGTTCTACTTCTCCCCAGGCATCAACGGCCAACATTTTTATATTATTTTTTAAAACTACTGTATATAGTCATTTTTACTTAACATTTGTAGGCTTTAAACAGACTATATCGTAGGTGACACAGCAGTTGTGTGATAAAGTGCGCATGTTCATCAGTTGCGCGCCCAATCGCGCACTCCAACACGCGTCAGTTTCACGCAGTCTACTCTGCACTATTAGCCCTTACATGGACACTCTTTCCATTGCAATAGAAACGACTTCACTCTAGTAACATGTAGGCTTTCCTGTACATGCCTGACCATGCACAATAGATTGCCTGTATAAAGGGGCTATTTGTGGAATCATCGATTATTTCGATGGGGCCATGGCTTCTAAAAGAAGAACGTACATGACCAAACCATTGAAGCATTGCCCTCTACATCCTGGTCACTACATTTGATAAATAACATGCACAAAAGTTTGAAATACTATATAAGTTCAAAAAGACCTTCATTCTTCAAATCCAGTCTCAAAGTCAATACTTCATTGAGAATATTTAGATTGCATACCTAATACAAAATTATGGATAAAATAAAGCCAAGAATATCACTTCTTGGTATCACCAGTTTATCATATCTATCTATCTACATTATATTGAATCACCAATCATGTGTTTATGTCTAAAATGTGTATGTATGTACTTAAATATTAACAATGATTCATCACATCACAGCCTTGATGTATATATCTATCCGGGGGTAGAGGAGAAAAAGTGTTTTTAACTTTTTGTTAAATATTGTTATTTCATTGATCACTGTCGCGTCAGCCAGTATTAATTTTTACATTTAAAACAACTATAATCTATAATGATTGTAAAATAAAACAAAAAAAAAGGAATTCCATTTAAATGTGTTACTTACTACAAGCTCATACCAGTTTATATAAGGTTAGCCACAAGTAGGCTTCATCACAAAGACAAGCTCTTACCTCCTGAGGCTATGTAGAAGCCACTCGGCGAGTATTTGGCAACGTTAACTTGACAGGAATGCTCAGTGTAAATGTCCGCAATCGCAGGATTCTCAATATCCCGGATTATTACAGAATTCCCGTTTGTGTACAGGAAAGTTCGGCCTTTCGGATCACCGCCCAAAACCAATGGAGTACCTCGCTGAGTTCTCGGCAGAGCCGCCCAAGTGTATTCTGTAAGCATGCAAATATCTCGTCACACTACGTTATACATCACCGGCAAAACTAACTACACAAAATAGACTTGTCGAGAGATTTTTGTCTCGCCATTCCTTCAATGAATGTCTCACAATAGCAAAGTTCCGAAATAATAGATACTTACTGTTAGAATACGACATACTGCCCTTACACTTGTCTATATTAATACTACACTCACTACGCTTAAACTAAGTTTTATTCAGTACTTTTAATTTAGATAGAAAAACACAATCAGCCGCTACCACTCCATAGCCTTCCTTACTAAATGACGTATGAATTGTTTCCGTTGTATTGGTAGGACTGTGATCATTTCAAATGCCCTTATATGGGCACTCACCCTGCATTTCACACAGACTGTAATAATTCAAAAAAATTATAGATAAACTCGGAACACAATATCATTATTTTAAAAATACACATTACATATGTGATTAAAATTCGATTCAGTAGAAAAAGTAGCGATCCGATTAAATTTTAAATCGGTAATTTTGTCATTAGAAAGCACTTCTCTATTGTTAAGAAAACAATATCTCTATGGTCATGACGAGATATCCTCGCGGCCGCAGCCAAGTTATTTTTTTTACCGAAATTGTAAATTTAAAAATTGGCGTTTAAAAGTGTTCAAAAACATAACTTGTTTAACTTTGTAGTTATTAACCGTTGAAATGGAAAAAACTGCTTATTTTTTAACGTTAAAACGTACGTTTAAAAAGCGTGTTTGTAAAAGCGCTTTTCACACGCTTATTAGTTTGACGCTTAAAAAGTCGTTTAGAAAAACGTTTAAGCGCATATACCAACGCTTTCGCTTAAAACATGCTTAAAAGTTTAACTTTTTTTTTACTTATTTAGGTGCTTTTCGTTTAAACGCCCACCTTTATCAGTCAGTTTATTCGTTTCGGTTAGACCTGTGTCGATCGATCAATTGTGATAACCCGGGTCGGTCATGACCCATGACAAATGTAATCGAATGTTATATAATTCGATCATATGATCGATCTTTTTGCGGGTTACGGTCCAGCCGGTCTTATTCTTTTTTTACTCGCTAGGTGAAAGTAAACATTATTTATAAGTTTAGTTTCTAATAATAATAATATTTTTATTTCTCCACAAAAACACCTTCAGAAGGTTCTCAGTAATTTAAGAAATTTTAACAGCTAGATTTCTATTCTCAATTCGTAGAAACAATCTGATTTTCTGAGTTTGTATTATATTTGTTTTACTTACTTTTTTATTACTTACTTAGGTAGTGAAGTTTGAGGGTCGTATTCTAGAACTCTACTCAATGCTCTAGTCAGGATTTGAGTATGGTTTAAAGCACTCGAAATCATACTCAAGTCCCTGCCATCAGGGTCGTATTTCCAGTGCTTGAAATCATACTAAGATCCTGATTTGCGCATTGAGAGTAGAGTTCTGAAATACGCCCTTAAGAGTCAGACAGAAATACGTCATCACGTAATAATAAATAATATTTCCTCACCGTGCAGACGATTACCCCAATAGTGCGTCGTATTGTGTATACCCTTACAACAAGCTGTATACGAATAGTAGTTTTCTTAAAATTCAAAATAAATTATCTAATATAGCGTTAAGAAATTTGGGGCCCATTACACTCAAAAATATTAATCACAACACAGGAACACACCGAAAAACAAACTAAACAAACTTACAAAATTACCATGTAACATACGAGTTAGTTAGAATAGGATGATTGATTGAAAGACTAGTTGATCCGTTAACCCGTCCGATATTGGTTGAATTTTTGATTCGATAGGTTCTCTTGAGCGTATTTTCTATGAAACGAATGATCCATACGACCTGAACTAACAGAGTGAGAAGGCGAATTTGGTCGTGAGAATGAATGAGACAACAATACTATTGTCAGTTTCAGACTTATTGTTATTTGAATTATTGAATAATCTCAACCCGTTTATGAATAAAGTCGAATATTGCACGCATGACCCATGAAACTCTAAAATGATCTGGTTATTAGGAGCTTGTAACTCGGGTTATCGGGTCACGTCAGGTACTGTTCGAATCATTTTGATTGGGTGATCATGATCGACCCACGCCTAGTTCAGTTCGTTTGGAGATTAAAGAGGAGTGTGACGTGTTGAAAAAATTTACAATTGATGCTCGGTCCGCGTGTTTTTAATTCATTTTTGTTCTTAACAAAGAAGTGACGACGGCTGAAAACGTGCGATAGTACAATAAAACAAACGCTGAGCTGATCTCGGTTTTTTGGAATTTATTTAATTTGTCACTTTTTCCCACGTGGTGAATGTCAGTTTTTCGTCGACGTGTTAGTTCTGCAGAAGCGTGGCAGAAGCATTTAAAATAACTAAGCTGAAAGCTAAAAAAGGCACTGCAAGATATTTGCACGCGTTATTACGCTAATTTAATTCTCTGACCGCATTTTTTGTATTTAAAACGGATTCCTTAAAAATGTCCGATCTTAATTTATCTAGCGATGTACCCTCCAGAAAAGTCTGTGCTGTCACAGTGCCACCGGAGAAGAATGTAAGTTTTGCGCGTATTACTATTAGATAAATTATCAAGAGACCAAATCGAGAATGTAATTTTTCAACTGCATTGTAAAAATATGAATCAATTTGATGCAATATTTCATATCAAAACACCTTAAGATGTCGCAAACTTCGGAATTATTTCACTATCAATTCCTTTCTTTCCCATAAAAACATAAAGAGAGAAAGACAACTTGTCTTTATGAAAAGGCTACTTAATAACAATCATTCTGCTATCTCAACTAATTTATAAAGCGTCATATTATTGTTGTAAAATATTAATTTGGTTGTTCCAGATGTTCTCAATCACAGATGAGGATTATCAATGTGAATACACAGATTCTATCTTTAAATATCTTCTACAAAAAGAGCAGGAGAAGCCGCCTATCCATCTGCAGTCACCACAGGTATTTTTATTTTTTTTATGACACTTACATTTTCTAAATTGTAATGTACTTTTTTAAATCTAGTTTTAAGAGGTCTGAAACGTTGGGGCGTTTATGTTGATCTCGTAATGTATGTACCTAGTCTTGCCATAAATATTGTAATAAAGAAAAAAATATTTTTTTAACTGCAAACAACATTTATTACTTTTATAGTGTGTTAGTTTAATACATAAATATACAACAATTAAAAATATAAAAAGCTCATTCGAAGTGGTCTCCATTGGCTGCAATACAGTCCTTTAAACGTTGAGGCCAGTTATCAATAGAAGCACGCACTCTTTCCATGGGAAAATTCTTCACTGCCAATCGTATAGATTGTTTTAGGGATTCCAAATTATCATGGCGTTTAGAGCAAGCTGTACTCTCTAAAACTGACCATAAATGATAATCCAGCGGATTAAGATCAGGACTAGACGACGGCCAGTCTTCAGCTCTAATGAAGTCCGAAATTATTGCTTCCAATCAAGACTGCGTGGACCGAGCTTTATGACCCGGCGCCGAGTCTTGCTGGAAGGACCATACTTGGTTATTGAACATGGTGATGTTAAGGGGCTTAACTACTTTCTCAAGAATGGTATCTTGATACACTTGTGCCGATGTTTTGATACCTTTTTCACAAAAATATGGCTCAGTCACTCCTTCATAGCTAACACCCCACCAAACCATCACTGAAGTCAGATAATGTCCACATTGCACTCTGTCGACTAATTGGGAAGCTTCCTTAGAGCTTTGAGCATAAATGCGGTCATTTTGTTTGTTAAAATGTTGCTCAATTGTAAAAATTTTCTCATCCGTAAACAAAATTTTTCTGTGACCTCCCTTTGCGTACCGCTTCAGTAGTTGTTTCGATTTTACCACCCTATTCTTCTTTAAATTATCAGTTAAGAAATGACCAGTGCGTCTCTTATAGGCTGCAAGTCCTAAGTCATCTTTTAAAATACGCGACATGGTTCTAGGTGCTATCTTCATTTCCCGAGATAAAATCTTTTGCTTTCGGACAGGATTTCTTCGAATTCTTTCCCTTACTGCTTTGACCACCACCTTTTTCGTACGAACACTATGTGGACGGCCAGATCTTTTTCTGTCACAAACAGAGGAAGTCTCATTGTACCTATTAATAGCCCGGTACACCAACATTTTACTAATACCAAGTGTATGGAGAGTTTTAAAAATTGCATTTAGCTCCATACCTACTTTGAGTAATGCAATCACAGCGATTCGGTTCTCTTTATCACCCCACTCCATTTTAATATCGCAAAATATTGTACAATGTATTGGCGCCAAAATGAGAAACACAATGAACAATCGTATAAAAATGACAGATTCAAAATTCAAATGTAATATTTTTTTATTTTTAAGTGTAACAGTATTTGTGGCCAGACTAAGTATACATATAAATATCTATCCTACTTTATCTGTCACTACTCCAATGTGAGGTATTGCTCTTCATCAGAAAGCAAGACCTCACATAGGAGGATAGAGCTGCAGCACTCGTTGTCAACGGGTTGCTCAGCATTAAATTTAGCTCTCCTACCTGACCAATGTCTTTTAATTGATATTGGGCCTGACAGCCCTTATTGATTGACATTCCATTAAATGAAGCATGTCTTCCAACTTGTTACGGAATTGGCATTGGGGGGATTCTGCCCTTCTCATGAGATAGTAAAATTTATGTTATGGAATGTGACCAGAATGTAGTCTAAGAGCAATTAATAATTAGTGACTTTAATAGGCTACCCTCCTCGAACCAGAGCTTTCTTGGCTGTCTTGTAATGTACTTTATAAACTAAAAAGGCCAGGAAGAAAAACTTGCTGCTAGTTAGATAGTAGCAACCAAATCGGATTGCAGAAAAGGGAGCATTACAGAAATGGGACTTCTAAGTTGCATCTCCATAGTGATTATTATGTATTCTTCCATTTTTGTACTGTAACTTCCATATGCCTGTAGTGTCCTACACTGCCGCAGTTAGTTGAAAGAGCGTTTGTGACAAAAACTCAAAGAAATCATATTGAAAAATATTAACTTGGCTTTTGCGGTAACTTCATTACATTATCCACCTAGGAAAAAATAAGAATAGTGAGAAATTGGCCTTCTTCTACTGATCGGAAATATTGATTTATTTAGTAGCAGTAGAGGTGCTTGTGATAGTGTTTGTCCAGGGAAGTACTGCCACCTTACCTATTTCTGCCGCTAAGCAGTAATGTCAGCATTAGTGTGTTGCTGTTTTGAAGGGTAAGGGTGCTGGTGAAATTACAGGCGCATGGGACTTGTCAACTTATGTCTCAGGGAGATGGGCGCCGTGGCAGTGCTCCTCAGATCTTTGCGATTTAAGGCACTGAGTCCCATCACTTGATATTATAAAAAAAAGCTTAACAAATTTTTTTTTAATTGATACATACGCCTTTTCTACTAACAGCGGCAGTACAGGGACTTGGAAGTTGTCAGTTTTATGCCTTAGAGTGATAGGCATAATGGCAATGATTTATTTAGTCAGTTTCATGTGATTTAAAACTTTGAGTGGCACTACAACTGTTGTGGATAGGAGTTTTGCTTATCACAAGACCGTTATAGTAACATTAATGTGAGCATTACTGCATTCCGGTTTGGAAGGAAGGTGAAATGACAGGCACATGGGACTGGTTATGTCTCATGGTGTCGGACGCAGTGGCAGTGTCACTGAGTATTATTAAAAAAAGACAAGACCCACAACTTGTTAATTCTCTCACGTGATATGATATAAAAGTTGCTAAAAATAATAATATTAGGAGCATTCTATCAAAGCAATTTAAATCTTCTTGTATATTGTTGTGGTGAGCTCTATGAATTGACCTGCAGTAAATTTAGTTACTGCATTATTGCATTGTAGAGACTCGCCATCAGCCTTGGCTCTTGATTGATGGTCACAATACTTCAATTGCTGGATGCATGGATGCTGGACGGCGCAAGGTTTAAAGCTAATAAAATGACACGTGTATAAAATAAGTAAGTCCATAATCATCCATGAGCCAAATAATAAACTTATAACACCTGCATTTGATCACTAAGTTTCAAAATGACGTTATAATGAATATATTTGCGTCATTATTTCACCACTTCTTTTAATATGGCGTCATAAAGAAACTCCGCCTTATCTTTGCATGCCCAATACATCAGTGGTCTAATATTTTTAAATGAGTTTTTTTTTTCAAAGAATAAGGCAAATTTAAATAGACACGTTTTTATTTTAAGCAAATAATTGTAGAAGTAAAACTTTGATAGTTGTCTAGACTACATAATTGCATTTTAGGTTATTCAATTGGTATTGCACCATAATGCAAATTGATTGCAACATTTGGAAATCAGCTACAGTTTTTGTCATTTGCATTTATATGGCAGTTGTTTTTTCATGGTTTCTTTCATTCATCGTAATGATCGCTGAACGAAGTTTTACTTTGATTTAAACTTTTCACGATTTTCACACATTATTTGATTTTTAATTATATGTTTTTTTTTTATACGTGATTTAATTCCGAATTAAAAATCAAATAATGAATGGAGTTTTGTTTTTAAAATCGTGTTAAATCCTGGCTAATATGCGCAGCAAATTGAGTTGATAAGAGCTTCGATGTAAACACATGTGCACTGCAATCAAATGTTTATAATGATAAACTTCCCGATAAGTCACAGAATAGCTACTACAACAAATTTAAAATAATACTACTGGATGAAAAGACATCTGCAGCTCCTATTACGCAATGCCTGTTCAAAATGCAAAATTCATATTTCATTACTATCGATTTATGTTCATAAATTACATGTTTACGTGGAAAATTCTGAAATATGTGTATAAAATACATATGGAAAAGGAAAATGGAACATCTCACAATTGGTGTTTGAATCTAAAAGTATTTTTTGTTATATTTACCATAATGTTTGTTTTTGTGCTATGTAAAACTATACTCTAGCCAAATTCGACAAACAACAAACAAAATCCTATGATTTTTTTAGCGTTTCCACCTCAGACTGTTTCACAATTACAGTATTTTCCCCCGCAATTTGATTGATAATTTTTTTTTTATTTATTAAGGCTTTGGCAAAGCCATCAGCCTACACATGGAGTTTAATTATGTTTCTGTAAACATGGCCGCCACAAAGAGGATAGGCAATTTGAGGCGACGTGCTTAGATTGACTCGGGATTCCTTAAAACGGGCCGATACGGGTATTTTAGTTCGAGATTCGTATAATTTCGCGTTTTAATCTTCGATTAAGGCACAATAGCACTATCCTATTCCACTTTAAACTAGAATTCACAAAATAATTGAAAGTCAAAATAAAAACGACACTTTTCCCTCCAAAAGGTCCAGAGCGAATCCTGATTGATACTAATCTTGAAGTCATGTCTATGATGAATTTTTTATTTTTTTCAATAATGGCACTAGAAGTGATGAATTTTGTTCAATAGAAATTTCAAATCGCCTAAAAATAACATTAAAAATACCAGTATATATATAATCCCTAATGATTATTTGATTTGAAGGGAGAGATTGCAAACATTTCTAGTTCGACTAGTAATTTTAAAGTTCAGAAACAGAAATTGATGCTGGTTGAGATATGTACTAAATTTATATAATCTTTTCGTAAACTTTTCGCTAATCTAACAGAAAGTACGAATAGGTATCAAAAAGTCAATTAATTTTATTCATAAATCAAACGTATCAATAGGTACTTTATATAGGTGTATGAGTAGATACTTTTAACTGTATAATAATTGACTAGGGAAGTATTACTTCTGCATAATCCAATTACCTACCTAAATTCCAAGCAGGCCGCGGGCGGACGTGCGCGAGAAGCGCGTGGGAAGCTCATCTGTACCGTGTTTTAAGCGCGTTTGAATCTATTCAAACAACATATACTCCA